TCGGACATCCCCCCGAGGGGTTCCAGATTGGAGAGGGTGTAGGCTGGGCTGAGGGACACCTCCCCCCGTGCACTAATTTCATGCACTGGGCCTCTAGTAATAATAATAATTTGGAGTTATGATTGCTTGGCAGGCTGACATCTTCCCTGATATGACATAAGTAGTCCAAAGAGGCCCGCTAAATAAATGAAACTCTAGGTAAGACTACAGAGCAAGTCGTATTCAGAATAAACATTTGCTGGCCTGCTGACCAGCTGGGCATCCTGGGACGGGGACGCTCACTGCCCAGGAGTTACGGGAGCGCCTTTCTGTCCTGTGTTGCCCGGAGAGGTGGCCGGGCCAGTGCCCACGGTAGAGCCGGCTGAGCAGGGCGCCAGGGCTCCCAGGCCTTTCTGACCTCAGCCCGGCTGCATTTTCTTCCTGACTTTTACCAGCCATACACAGCAACTCTTTGCTTTTGTGCGTCTATTTTCTACCACGTAGGACTCAGAGAGAGGGAGGGGTGACCCGTTGACCCTAACTTTCACTGGCCACCTCAGGCAGGTTGCTTCATCTCCCGCTGAGTTTTATTTATTTTTTAAATATATTTTTATTGATTTCAGAGAGGAAGGGAGAGGGAGAGACTGCCTCTTGCACACTCCCTACTGGGTATATGCCCGCAACCAAGGTACATGCCCTTGACCGGAATCGAACCTGGGACCCTTGAGTCCGCAGGCCGACGCTCTATCCACTGAGCCAAACCGGTTTCGGCTAAAAAAACTTTGTTAACAATGAAAACTGAATAAAAAAGTAAGTATAGTCAGTTTTAATACTTACAAAAAACATAACGTATATTGTAGCCTGTTAGTTTGCAGACAACATACAAACCCGGAAGCTCAAATTTTAAGAATATGGATTTTGGAATTAAGGGGTTCATTGTTTTGAGTTCGGGTCTGCAGCTCACTAGGTATGATATTTGGCTAAGTTGTTTGACTTCTCAGAGCCTCAGTGTCCTCAATTGTGAAATGGCGATGAATGCGAGGATTAAATGAGATGGTACACATGAGGTGCTTATCACAGTGCCTAGTACTTACTTAGCAGTGGATGAACAGAAGTGTTATTTTTTTATTTTTATTTTTTTAAATATATTTTATTGATTTTTCACAAAGAGGAAGGGAGAGGGATAGAGAGCTAGAAACATCGATGAGAAACATCGATCAGCTGCCTCCTACACACTCCCCACCGGGGATGTGCCTGCAACCAAGGCACATGCCCTTGACCGGAATCGAACCAAGGACCCTAGAGTCCGCAGGCTGACGCTCTATCCACTGAGCCAAACCGGCGAGGGCCAGAAGTGTTATTTTTGGTTTAATACATGCATTCTTCAAAATTGGTTCTTGGGGACAAAAGGAAAAAAACCTTGTTATGTAAAAAGCACATAGTATATCTGTGAGTATTAAAATTTCATGGGTGGCCGGGGTGAATAGGAAAGTGTCTAAAGGCTCCTTGCAGAGGGGGAAACAATAATGGAAAAAACAGCTGAGAAACACTTTACTGTTTCAGAATGGCAGCAAGAGCACTCCTGGCTGAGGCCAGATCCCAGGCAGCGCCAGTTTATCCCATAGAATGATTTTGCAGATCTCACCTCACTCAGCTTTCACCTCCGGGTGAGGATGAAGTTTGAATGGCTCTTCTTATTTACTCCTCGGAAATCTGAATAATAACATCACAAGAGAGTAAATCAATATTATGCTGTGGAAACCAATTAGAATTGATAACACTGGCTGAGGAAACAGACTGTGAACATAGATTACTGAAGTATAAACTAAAACAAATTATAATAGTCTGTACTGGCCCTTCTTTTGTGTCATTGTTAAAGTACTCTGATTTTCATTTAGTTGAGCACAAAGTTATAGGTTCATCAATTTTTTTTTATTTTATGTTTTTAAAATATATTTTATTGATTTTTTTACACTGAGCCAAACCAGTCAGGGCTATTTTATTGATTTTTTACAGAGAGGAAGGGAGAGAGATAGAGAGTCAGAAACATCGATGAGAGAGAAACATCGATCAGCCGCCTCCTGCACATCTCCCACCAGGGATGTGCCCGCAACCCAGGTACATGCCCTTGACCGGAATCGAACCTGGGACCTTTCAGTCCGCAGGCCGACGCTCCATCCACTGAGCCGCCCGCAACCAAGGTACATGCCTTTGGCCGGAATCAAATCCGGGACCCTTGAGTCCTCAGGGCGATGCTCTATCCACTGAGCCAAACCAGTTAGGGCAATGTTTTAATTCTATAGTAATGTAATAAAACTTTATATTCCAGCGAGCTAATGCAAATCTTGGGAAGATAGAAGTCCAAATTCACTTTCTTTTGATGCATTCTTTCCTTTTTATCACTGTGTGCCAGGCACTGTTTTAGACACAGGAAGCTTATATTATAGTGGGGAGTGGAGGAAGACAGTCTATGAAGAGTATATATTAGAGTATATATTAGATGGTGGTCAGTGCTATGGGAAAAGAAAACGATTAAAGGTAGGTATAGAGAGGCAAGGAGGGCATTGCAGTTAAACTGGAGTAGTCAGGATAGACCTCAGTATCTCCTTAGGCCAGCGGTTCTCAACCTGTGGTTCGCGACACCTTTGGGGGTCAAACAACCCTTTCACAGGGGTCGCCTAAGACCATCGGAAAACACATATATAATTACATATTGTTTTTGTGATTAATCACTATGCTTTAATTATGTTCAATTTGTAACAATGAAAATACATCCTGCATATCAGATATTTACATTACGATTCATAACAGTAGCAAAATTACAGTTATGAAGTAGCAATGAAAATAATTTTATGGTTGGGGGTCACACAACATGAGGAACTGTATTAAAGGGTCACGGCATTAGGAAGGTTGAGAACCACTGCCTTAGGCACATCTCTGTTTACAAGATACTTTGGCCATTCATGAGAAGAGTTTATAAAGTATATTTTTCTGTTTCTTTTTGTAGAATGGTAGTCGAAGAAGAACACCAGGTGGAGTTTTCCTGAATCTCCTGAAAAACACTCCTAGTATCAGTGAGGAACAAATTAAGGTAAAAATGATGATGTTCTTGACTTTTCAGATCCATAATAACTTGACTTCTATTCAGCCTCTAACTTCATTTACATCAAACTAAGAATGACCTAGTTAAAGTTTCTTTGCCAGGTTTTATCTGTCTCTCAACATTTCTGACATATTCATAAGAAGTTGGTGCTCCAAGAGGGCCTAAACAGAGCACTCATTTTCCCTGCCAAAGTTCTAAATCACTTGAGAAACAAGACCCTGCCAGAATTTTTTAAAAATACATTTTTATTGATATCAGAGAGGAAGAGAGAGTTAGAAACATCAATGATGAGAGAGAATCACTGATTGGCTGCCTCCTGCATGCCCCCAATGGGATCAAGCACACAACCTGGGGCACGTGCCCTGACCGGGAATCGAACCGTGATCTGATTCATAGGTCGACACTCAACCACTGAGCCATGCCGGCTGGGCCCCTAACTTCATTTTCTACTAATCTTCATCACTTGCTTTGTCTTAAATTGACTAATTTTGTCATAGTCTCATTTCAAGTGAAACCTATGCCTTTTGTAAAGCTCCGCCTCTTTTTCTTCCCTTTCAGAACCAAGACCAAGATTTCTTTTATGGCATCTTTCCTGGTTTCTTAGCACGTAATTATTTTCTACCCGCCTACAACTATTATTATTGAAGAATTTTAAACATGCAGAGTAAATGAAAGAATAGGATGAATACCCATATATCCTCCACCTAGAGTCACGGGTTGTTGATAGTTTAACAGTCTTACTTTACAATTTTTTGGTACCATTTGGAAATAAAATTATGACACTCATCCCTAATAACTTCAGCAAACCTCTCTAAATAATAAAGACAATATCCTACATAAGGCATACTTAAGAAAAATAAAACAATTTCTTAGTTTCATCCAACTTCTAGATTACTCCTATATCCTGAATTGTCCCAAGAATCTATTTTCAACTCTTTTCTCCCTCCAAAATAGGATCATGTCCAGATTTCCACATTGCATTTTCTTATATCTTTTGCTCTTTTTATTCCCATATTTACCTCCATGATTTAGACCCTTTTGAAGAGTCTTAAAGAATGTACATTCTGGTGATTGTCTCCTTATGGGTTTGTTTTGTTCATCCCTCTCTCCAACATTTCTTATAAACTAGAAGCTAAGCACTTCAGTATTCTTAATCATTTTTGTGTTACTAGAATGTCTTCTATGGGAATTTACAATGTGGGTGTTTCGTAGCTCAAACTTTGATATCTTTTGTTAATTAAGGAACATGATTTTCATTTAGCAGATATATTTGAGTCTAACTTCTTACATTGGAAAAATGTGTGCACATGCAACACAGCTGCACTATATATATATATATATATATATACATACATACCGTATTTGCCGGTGTATAAGACGATTTTTTGGCCCTGAAAAATATGCCTCCAAGTGGGGGGTCGTCTTATATGCCAGGTACACTTCAGATAGACTGCCCATAGTGCTTGCCCCGTGCCATAGTGGCCTCCCGATGCCCGCCCACTTCATTCCACATACCGTTCCGGCATCAGCAGCGCTGCTGGGTGTATGCTCGGCTGATATGCGATTTTGCT